ATCACTCAAAGTCCACTCTTTACATTACTAACAAACCATTATCACTCAAAGGCCACAGTTTACATTAGTAACAAACCATTATCACTCAAAGTCCATAGTTTACATTCCTAACAAACCCATTATCACTCAAAGTCTAGTCTATATTAGGATTCACTCTCCGTGTTGTACATTCTAGGTTTTGTTTTTAAGACTTCATTTTTTTTTAAGAAGCAGTTTCAGGTTCACAGCAAAATTAAGAGGAAGGTATAGAGATTTTCCATATCCCCTGCTACCATACACGCTAGCCTCCTCCAGTATCAACATCCTCCACCAGAGTGGTACATTTGTTAAAAATGAACCTATACTGACACATAATCACTCAAAGTCTATAATTTACACAGAATTTCCTCATTTATTAAAAACAAAGCTAAATATTACTCTAATGCAAATTAAAGAAGGTATTTTTCTTCTATTACAAAAGGTTACAAGGGAAGGAAAGCCTTAAGAAAAATAATGAAAAGGTTACAAGGGAAGAAAAGCCTTAAGAAAAACTCTAAACTTGCCATAAGAAAAAATTTACAGTACATATTTTAGATAAATATTAGATAAAAATTAGATGAAAATGAGAAAACAAACATGATAAATTTCATTTAAAACTTGTCAAGTTATCTTTACTTGTTTCAATGGTCTCTTCTTTGATTTTGATACAATAGATGACTTTCACCCTATTTCTATGAAACAACAGTGACATCCAGAGGCCAATAAAACAGCGGCGGTACATAAGCAATCAGCCTTTTATTATTACTTAACTAGACAGTCATGTTAGCATTGACAAAATAAAATGCAATCCAACAATATAGTTAAATGTTAACACTTGAGTCTGAAGTACAATTTCAAATGTAATTAAGATAAATTTATGTACGTGTGCATATATATATTTGAATCCAGTTAACATATATATTCAATTTTGTAAAATTTAAGTACTATTTTTACTTTATATGTTCTGGGTTGTCTGTAAAATATATTAAACAATAATTAGGGAAAATATGGAAAAGGAGTATTCTAACAAAACAGTGACTTAAACATCTTACCTTCTATCAAAAGTAGACATTCATTTGAAAGTGGGAGAATACCATTATTTTTCACAAAATGAACTGCTACTTTTCGTCCTTTTTGATTTTTAGTGGTCCAGATTTTTGAATCGTATAATGCTGTATTTTGAAGCTTGACATCTGGGGTTTTAGTTGCACCATCCTGCAAAATTATATCCAAATCACCCTCACGTGGAACTTCTTGTCTAAAATTATTGACAATGAAATGACAAAAATCAATTTTGGTATAAGCTTGAAAGATTTCAATTTAACAAGTAATCAAATTAAAAAGTATCATTCTTATATGCAGATGAGTCAGTTACTTTTTCTTAAATTATCTAAATTATGGAGACAATTCACTTTGCAGAACAAATAACTTTTTTCAATAGATAAATATTTGATATTTTGTGGGTAAGTATATCCCAATCATAATTACATTAATTACCAGTGATTTCCATGCCTGGTTTTGTGATACAAAGCCACTTATAATTATTTCTAATATCAATTTTTTCTTCTCCGTAAGGAATGCTAAATTTCCCAGTAGGAGAAAAAAAATACAGTGGCCCCCTGTCTTCACTCCAGTTAAATATCCACTTACCACACTTAGGGAAAAGGGCACTTCTAAACTAATAATATTTCCAATTCTATTTAATAATTAATAATTTTGAGAAGTCATATGGTTAAGTATCATGTAGCAGAAATGGCATCATTTGGAATCAAAAATTGTATGGTTTTATTCTGGTTCTGTTGTCAATTAACTGTGTAACTTTAGATAGTTTCTGTTAATTTCTGAGATAATGTCCTTATTTGTTTAAAAAATGATCGCAGAGAGTGGTTTTATTTTACAAAGCTGTATGATTTTACAAAATTCAATAAACCAAAATTTGATAATACTTGAAGAATTATCTAAAATCCTTATATATACATTTTAATCCCAACCACCATTTCAAGCTCAAATGGGTAAAAACTGTTCCCTTACATTTTATTTAAAGAGATTTTAAAATAAAAAATTTCCTCAAACAGCATTATACTCAAATTTTTGAGGGGAAAATATATGTATATTAATGAACACTGATACTCACAATTTATAAGCACACAAATACATGGCGATGTACATATATATATACATATTGTAGCACATTTTAGTGAAAACTCAATTTATGGCATCCAAATGCATACAGCCATCAATTATCTACATTTTCCAAAACATCATCTTAGATATTCAGAGGAAAAATAAGCAAATTGCAAAAAGATGAGGAGCTTTTAAAAATGATTTTCAGAATATGTCTCAAGCTGATTACGTAGTAAAAGGATTACAAAACAGTTATATACATTTATCACATATTTATATAATCAGTGATGTTCAGAGTAAAGGCACTGAGAAATTCTCAATTACTACAGAAAATTTAAATTACATTTATTATATTCTAGTTATTAAGTAGGACAGAAGTTTACCAACAAGACTCTCTGTATCACTTAATTAGATATTTCAAGTAATCACAACTCTTTCCAAAAATTTCAGTTAATAAAGGTTTATATTTAAGAAGATACTTTTGTGACAAATGAGTCTGCCCAAATATATTAATTATTTATTATTTCTCATTTGCCTTTATCAGAGTGACTAAGCTGAATTTTAGATCTGAATATAGCAACCACTTTTATTACTATCAGAATAATTTATTCTCTAAGAATTTAGCATTTTACCTAAAAAATTTACCACTCTTGCAAAATATATTAACAATTTACTTATTCCTAAGACACAAAATTATACATATGTGCACATATATACACAAATAATATGAAAGCACATTTGTTTTATTATGGAAAATACTCACAGTAAATGACATTTAGGGCAATGAAGTTTAACAGACTGAAATAGTCTTCTGGGCTTATATGACCTCAATTTTGCTCGGATGCGATATTGTTGAGGAGCTTTTTGTTTCAAAATGGCACACAGTGGTGTCCTCTCCAAATACTGATGATCTGTAAGTACTGTAAAGAATTTTTATATATTAAAACAGAATAGCAAGAATCATATTTATGACATGCATCCTTCTGAACCAAATATATACTATAAAATTTAATTAATTTTAGATCTATTAAGTGTCACTCCATGAAAGCAAGGGTTATGTCTTTTTTCCCTAATGTATATCCAGGGCCCACTAGCATACTGCCAGGCACACAGTAGGCACTCAACAAATGTGTACTAAATAAACGCTGGATAATTTGGGGGAAGAAATAACTTAATTGCCTAGTAAGCATTCAAAAAAGTATTTTTATATGGGACTAATGGAAATCTGGCTAACAGAAAAAAAGCAAGGTTTATTTAGCTAAGAAAATAATATGCTAGGCAACCGTTTAAGTTCTAATTGGTGTCTGCCACAAAAGAATGTAACAAAACACACTTGCTGAATATTATTTGCAGGCTCTTGGATGTTTCAAATTAGTTACGGAACTATCATTTATAAAATCAGATTAAGAATAGGAAAGGACATTAAGGGTGATATAACTGTCATGGGAGTGGTGTAGTAGTGGAGAAGAGAAGAGGAAGTTTGAGGAGTTGGAAGGAGAGAGTGGAGCAGGAGGGAGAGGAAAAGGAAGAGGAAGTTGAATCAAACTGGAAAAAAAAGTCAGACAAAAGCATTAGGAGCAATTGCCTGGGAAATAGGTATAAGAGGTCTCCTCAGCTACTTGTGGAAAGATGGCCTGGGTGATCAGTTTTTACCGGAAAAAAGTATAAAATTGCTGGTGACCCTTAGCTTAAGGCAACAGCTTGCTATACATTCTAGCTTAACACTTTCATGTGTTTTAGAAAATGAAAATGATGTACAAATCTTATTAACCTCAATGGCAAAGACAATTCCTTTCAGCTTTAATTCAGTGAAACTCTTGTTGAATTAGTTTTCCTTCAAGGATCAAACGGCCAAGAGTTTACAGTGGAACATTTTGTTGGGTGGAGATTTTTTTTTTTTTTTTTTTTTTTTTTTGGAGATGGAGTTTCGCTCTTGTTGCCCAGGCTGGAGTGCAATGGTGTGATCTCTGCTCACCACAACCTCTATCTCCCGGGTTCAAGTGAGTCTCCTGCCTCAGCCTCCTAAGTAACTGGGATTACAGGCATGTGCCACCACACCCAGCTAATTTTTGCACTTCAAGTAGAGGCAGGGTTTCTCCATGCTGGTCAGGTTGGCTTCGAACTCCCGTCCTCGGGTGATCTGCACGCCTCAGCCTCCCAAAGTGCTGGGATTACAGGCGTGAGCCACCACGCCCGGCTGGCGATTGTTTTAAAAAGACCATTGGCAGACCTGATCAATTTAGTGTAAATTGCTACACAGTGATAAGAGCAATTGCTTCAAACTCATATTTTAACCTAAAGTTTTTAACTTTTCATTTTAAAATGCTTTCAAATTTAAGGAAAATTGTAAAAACAATACAAAGACCTTCTGTATAATCTTCACCAAGATTCACCAATTGTTAACATTTTTGCACATTTATCGTTGTCACCATGTCTGTCTTTACCTGTCTCTCAACACGTAAATATTATTGAATCATTTGAGAATAACTACCAGACATTATCCCTCCTTTTCTCTAAATCCTCCAGTATGTATTTGAAAAGAAGACATTTTATTGACATAATTACAGCTAATTTTCAACATTAGAACATTTAAGTGATTTATTACTATAATCAAATTAACAAACATTACTCAAATTTCTACAATTGTCCTCAAAATGTTCTTCGTAGCATTTATTTTGTTTTCAAGTCTAAGATCCAATTCTGGACCATGTATTACATTTCATTCTCATGTCTCTTTAGACTTCTTTAATGTAAAATAAATCCTCAGTTTTTCTTTATCTTTCACGACACTGATATATTTGCACAGCTATTTACTCTGTAGAATAAACACCAAATTGTGTGTGTCTGGTTCTTCTTCAGGCTCAGGTTTAGCTTATGCATTTTTGGCTGGCATAATGCATACGTGATACTGTGTGCTTCTCAGTGCATCACATCAAGGGGCATACAAAGTGAGTGTTTCTATTACTGTAGACCTAAACTTTATTCACCTGGTAAAGGTGGTGTCCAATCACTTCTCCACTAAAAACTTACCGCTTCCCCCTTGCATTTAACAAGAATATACAAGTAAATATCTTATTTTTCATCATATATCTTGATAGTTTAGAATCCACAGATTCATAACTAACTCAACAATGACTATCATGGTTACAAAATGGTGACTTTTCTTTTTTTTAATTTCATCATTCCTTTCATATTTGTTATTTTACTTTAAGAAAGATATTTCCACTTAACCCCACATATTTTATTTTTCCTTTAGCATCATCAACATGGGCTCATGCATTCCTGCTTTACTCAATTAGTATGAATCTTATTTGTTTTGATGCTCAAATGTTCCCAGATTAGACATGTTCTATCCTAAGCCATTTGACGAGTTTCATCATTAACTGAGAACCTCCTTACTTTCTAGTACTACAAGGTTACTCCATACTAATTTTGTAATTCCCCTGTTCTAGTTCTGAAATCTGTTGTTTCACCAAGGAGCTTTGATTCCTTTAGAGAAAAATATTATTTATAAACCACGATCTGTGCACTAGGTTTGCTTATGGCAACTGGAGTGCTGCTGCCTGTATGACTTTTCATGGAGAGAGAGATAGGGTATATATGAACACACATTCATACTGACACACACACACACACACACCCCTATAATATAAACGAAAGTGTGCGTATGTATGTGAATATATATGTATCATACATACACACAGCTACATCTATTTCTGTATTTACCTAGGAAAACATGAGTACATGATGGCACCTCCAATTACAATACAACATTAAAAGCATTCATCAATCCTTTTCCCATTCGTATTTGTATCTTCTTCCTCCAATTTGAGAAATTAAAATTTCATAAATTTGTGCTTAAAACTATTTTTCTGAAAATTGTATTAATTAGCTGATGTAACAAAAGGCGGGTACTTGATAGACACACTATCATTACTAACATTAAATTAAAATTTTGAGGCATATTGCAAGGAGCTCCTTTATGGTACACTGTTTAATGCATCATGTGACAGGATAACTCTTCGTGTAACAGTTTAAAGATACATGTCTTTACATTGCATATTTTAAGTCATGTAACTCTAACAGAGATATATGACTTAAAATACATCAGGTATTTAATGCTTAAAATATATATCTGTTTTAAACGTTAAGTCTGTTAGAGATATATGACTTAAAATATGCAATGTAAAGACTCGTATCTTTATGGGTTCCGTTTTGTGCCAATGGCACATGGTAGAAGAAGAAAGTTAAATATGGACATATTTTAGCTTTAAAGGATATGTGTTCTACTATTAGAAAGAAATGGATTAGTTGGTAAGTGTAGAGGCAGACTTTATTACACTCATTACTGTGCCCATATCAAAAATGATACATGGTCTTACTTGTAGCAGATAGCTGTTGACATCTTTCTACCTCATACAATGATACTGATCCAGAGCCTATAAAAAGGAAAAGGCAAAAGAATTAAGCCCATTACAACTTCAACGTAGAACTGAAAACAGTGGAGCATTGCTGAGAGAAACTGAAGACAATACAAATGAATGGTGAGATATGTCACATTCATGATTTAAAAGGCTCAATATTAAGTTATCAATTCTCTCCAAATGAATCTGCAGATTCAGTATAATCCTTTCAAAACAGCAGAGACTGGGGTGGGCACAGTGGCTCACGCCTATAATCCCAACACTTCAGGAGACTGAGGTGGGTGGATCACTTGAGGTCAGGCGTTAGAGACCAGCCTGGTCAACATGGTGAAATCCCTTCTCTACTATAAATATAGAAACTAGCCAAGTGTGGTGCAGATGCCTGTAATCCCAGCTACTCAGGAGGCTGAGGCACGAGAATCGCTTGAACCCAGGAGGCGAAGGATGCAGTGAGCTCAGATTGTGCCACTGCACTCCAGCCTGGGCAAGAGAACGAGACTCTGCCTCAAAACAACAACAACAAACAAACAAACAGCAGAGGCTTTACTGCAGAACTTGCAAAGCAGACGCTATCACTTATGTGGAAGTGCAGAAAATCTAGAATATTAAATAACATTTTATAAAATAAGAACAAAGTTGGAGAACAATGTACATAACTTCAAGACTTACTATAAACTTACAGTAATTTAAGACAACATAGAACTGGCATGAGAATTGAAAAATAGATCAACTGAATTAAATTAAATAGAGAACCTGGAAATAAACCCACATTTACATTGTATTTTGATTTTTTACTAAAGCAGCAAAGCAATGCAAGGAGAATGCAAAAGGTGATGCAATAATTGAAAATTTAGTATGGGGAAAATGCATACTTCGCACTATACTAGTAAGCATTGAATGGGAAGACTAGACATAAGCCCACATTTATACTCGCTTGACTTCTGACAAAGACATTGAAGTCATCTAACAGGAAAAAGGAAACAAATGATGCCATAACAACTAGAAATTCCTATCTAAAGAAAAAATGTCTACCACATATCATGCGGCATTAAAAAGGAAACAAACTAGTGATATATGCAACAATGTGATTAAATCTCAAAAACATATAGTATGTAAAAAAGGATACATATGATTCAATTTTTTCAAAGTTCTAGAACTGCAAATCTAGAGGGATTTAGGTTACACGTTTATGTATTAGTCAAAACTCATGGAGTGGTTCATAAAATGGAAAGTTGTCCATTTCACTGCTAATTTTACCTCAAAAACAAAAAACTCTAAACAACTACTCAACTCTAGCTAATTGTGTTCATGCCATGGTGTTTAGAAAATGTACTTATGTCTGCAACTTACTTTGAAATGTGTAAAAAATATAAATTAATGAATGAAAAGGCATATAAGCCAGGAGCGGTGGCTCACACCTGTAATCCCAGCACTTTGGGAGGCTGAGGCGGGTGGATTACCTAAAGTCAGGAGTTCGAGACCAGCCTGGCCAACATGGTGAAACCTTGTCTCTACTAAAAATACAAAAATTAGCTGGGCATGGTGACAGGCACCTGGAATCCCAGCTACTTGGGAGGCTGAGGCAGGAGAAGCTTGAACTCAGGAGGCAGAGGTTGCAGTAAGCTGAGATCGTGCCACTGACCTCCAGCATGGAGGGCGAAGCAAGATTCCACCTCAAAAGAAAAAAAAAAAAGAGGCATATAGAAATAAATGCACATGTGATGGAGCAAACAAAGTAAAATAGTTATTGGAGAGTCTAGCTGGTAGGTATTTGAGTATTCATTGTACAACTGTTTTAACTCTACCATGTACGAAAGTCTTTATTATGTTGAAAAAATACAGTGTAGAGGAAATAAAAGGGGAGATGGATAAAATAGTAAACTTATGAAATTTAATAGAATGACCAAATGAACATCAAAAATAGGACTTTAACAAGAAAGCAAAAGTAGTAGTCATAGCATTTAGGTTACAAAATGCTTTCTAAAAAGAAGAATTTAAGACTTTTAAAATCTGTATTTTGTAATCACTTTAGCTTACATTCTATTATACATAACAGTATATTATGTTTTTATAATTTATTTTATAAAGCATTACACACAAACATATCCTCAGTATTGCTAATAAGTGGTATAAACATTCAAGTCAAGAGGACTTGAATGAACATCTCAAGCTGGCATTGGTATGATTTCAATAAATCTAATTCAGTAATTAATATTAGCCATTACAACACGAGATGGAAACAATGGCAGAAACCATAAAAGTAGTCAAATAAGAAAATGTGTAAAACATACATGGTTGCCCACAAACTGACAAAAATATAATTCAACAGAAAATCAGATAAAGGGTAAGAGCAAATAATCTGTGGAAGAGGGAATTAAAAACGTTCGTAAACATATAATAAGATTTTCAAGTTTCCAAGTAGTCAGGAAAATTAAGAAAATGCGTTTCACCTGCTGAACTGTCAAAAATTACATATAATGTTAAATTCCAATACTGTGAAGGTGTGAGGAAAGTACATTCTTCTATACTGCTATTTGGATATAAATTCCTATGACCTTTGGTAAATAATCAGGCAGCATCTATTAAAAGACATGCATACCCTCAGATATATCAACCTCACTTTTAGGAGTTGATTGTGGAGAAGTGCAAACATGGAAGCACATATATTCAAGGATGTTTATTAAAGTATTATTTATAACAGCAAAAAACTGGTAAAGATCTCAAGGTCTATTAAATGAAAAATGAAAAAAGTGTAACATTATTACTATGCAACTACAATGAATTTGAGTCATATGAATTAGCCCAGAAAAAAAGATCTATAATATATTGTTGAAGAAAGCAACTGTTTATTATAGTGTGATTTCATTTTGGTAAAAATTTAAGAAAAAGAGAAGAGTCATATTGTTTATGTATAGTTATATATGTTTGTATAAAGATGAAGTGATTGAAGGAATCACACTAAACTGTTAAATCTTACCTCAGGGAGTAGGGAATAAACGCATAGTGAAAGCTATTCAACTAGATATTACAACAACTATTACAGTGTACTTTAAAAATAATGAAAGAATAATTCTAAAAGGAAAGAGATTGTAAAAAGTATAATTACAAATTATATTGTCTCCAAGTGATTGTCATTTGAACTAAATCGGTTTCCTCATGGTAGTTCAAATAATCATACACTAGGCCACAATGTTATCACGAAAGTGTTAGCATTTTAAAATAAGTAGAGTTTTAAAACAGAGAGAATGAAGAAAATAAATGCAAAGTACATACCAAAAAATCAAAAAGCCTGCATTTGAATTTGTCTTGCTTTATCATCAGTTAACAGCTAAGTAACCGTGGACAAATTATATGATATCCATCCACCGAAGCCTCAGTTTCCCATTGTTAAAAGGAGACAGAATAATTCATCTCATAGGAGTGCTGTTAGAATTAAATAATAATGCGGCCAGGTGCGGTGGCCCACGCCTGTAATCCCAGCACTTTGGGAGGCCAAGGCAGGTGGATCACGAGGTCAGGAGATCGAGACCATCCTGTCTAACATGGTGAAACCCCGTCTCTACTAAAAATAAAAAAAAAAAAATTTAGCTGGGTGCGGTTGCGGGTGCCTGTAGTCCCAGCTTCTACTCGGGAGCCTGAGGCAGGAGAATGGCATGAACCCAGGAGGCGGAGCTTGCAGTGAGCCGAGATTGCGCCACCTCACTCCAGCCTGGGTGACACAGCAAAACTCCATCTCAAAAAACACACAAATAAACAAACAAAAGAATTAAATAATAATGCCTGCAGGCACTTACATGCCTACCAAGAAATATATGTTAATTTTCATGCTTATCATTATTGGGATGGAAAGAGAATAAATCTCATAAAACGATTTTTTGGATCACAGCAAGGTAGGAGTTAGGTAGAAAATAAAACAAAAACAACAACCAAAAAAAACAAAACAAAAACAAAGAAACGTGACCTAGATTCCAGGTCCCAAAATGCAGATGTAGAAATTCAGACAGGCCAGGCGTGGTGGCTAACACCTGTAATTCCAGAATTTTGGGAGGCTAAGGCAGGAGGACTGCTTGAGACCAGGAGACCAGGAGGTTGAGACAAGCCTGGAACAATATATAGTGAGATCCTGTTTCTACCAAAAATAAAAAATTAAAAGAGTAAAAAAAGTCAGGCGTGTTGGCATGTGCAGGACTACAAGTCCTTGCTACTCAGGAGGCTGAGGCAGGAGGATATCGCTTGAGCCCAGGAGTTTGAAGCTGCAGTGAGCTATGATCCTGCCACTGCATTCCAGCCTGGTCGCCAGAGCAAGACAATGTCTCTTAAACAAACAAAAACCCAGAAATTAAGACAAAGTGGCAAAAGAAAAAACAATGCACACTGAAAGCTTTCAAGTTCAGATTTGACTAGTCATCTATTCAAGTAGACAATATTAGAAGGACATATTCCACTGTTTGTTAATATTTTGTATTTAGATACCTGCTTAATTCAATAAAGACTAGAAACTATGTATACATCTAACATATGTATGAGCAAAAAGTATTTGGGCCATGTGAAATAAGTGGCAAAAACAATCTTTGTTCCCTTTAAAAACTGACAAGCAAAATAGTTGTCTATGAAATCAATACAGATTTTCTTGTGAATACAAACACATGTTATGTATATATCATAATCAAGTAATCACCACCACCCAATTTGAAAATGTAATTACATAATTTAGGAAGAAACCATGTTTACTTTTTGGCATAGGATACAGATAAAGATTTCAGTATGTTCCTTTACTACATGAAATTTTTAATAAGAGAGACAAAGAGAAGACATTAAAAATAATTATGTTGATAAAGCTATTTTATTTAGCAAGAACTAAACTGTCAATGTTAAAGGTTGTCCTTACTTGGAAAGCTGTCATCAGGTTCTGATTGACAGATAACATCTGAATGCTGATTGGCTGTCAAATTTGCAGATTCTAAATCCCTATAATTGAAAGAATACAATTTCAAATTGCATAAAACAAAGTCAATATAGTAAATTTAGCTGTACCCACAAAATCCAGAAATTCATTGATATTGTATATAAAATTCTGTGTGTATAAACATTCTTCAGTAAAGGATCTGTTGCTTTCATCAAATTTTACGAGGGTTCAAATTAAAAAGCTGAGTTTAGAAAGATACAAGTGAAACAGGGCAATGACGAAATAATACAAACAAAAATAAACTAGGAATTTAATGGATGGCATTCTGGGTCAGAACAATCTAACTCTAGATTCAAGAAGCTAAATACTATGTTGCTATATATGGCAATGATATTAAAATCAGTGAAACTGATATAAAAGTAATAAAACAGAAGCTAATTTAAAGTCACACTGATTTCAATGAATTAAAATTTAGACAAAATTTATTTAAATTTACTGAACAGTATGTTTTCTCTTTGAAGATATGAAGACTTTTTAAATTTCTAGAATATTGACCAAAATGCTTCTGCACACAGTACTCGCTAGGAATACCTTGGGAAAAAGAGATCTAAATATATAGCAGGTTTAAGATACTATTTACTTTCTGGCACATGTAAAAGTTTTAAAAATGTTTTTAAAAGGTTTAAAAGAGAGTGATACACCAAAACATGTGTTACCTATTTAATCAGTGGCACTTCAGAAATACATTTTTTTCATGAAAGAATTAAATATTTTTGGAATCTTAGATATGTATCAAATTTTCTAAACTTTAGCTAAGGTCTAGTTTCCACTGTATGTTGCTGTACTTGCAGAGTGTGGTAAATGACAGAAAAGAAGCAAGAGTGTAAAAGCCAGATTCTAACAGTTGGAAAACTTCAACTATAACCTTGGCTCTGCTAATACTTAGCTATATGAGCCTGTAATCATTTGATTTCTTTCATTCGGCTCATCTGTTTAAAAACATGGTGAATGGCACAAAAGGCTAGGGAACCTATCAGAAACCCCAGGAACAATATTATCTTAGAAATCGGCTTAATCAATACCTTATTTACATTTTCTAAAAATTAAAAGCTTACTTTTTCAGTTGATCCACATCAGAGTTAGTTTCTGGCAAGACCCTGATTCCCCGACCATAACTGGTACCTCCATGAAGATGAAACTCTAAACTTAACATTGTCTGATTCTCTGAATTCATTGATTGAAGTTTGGTATGAAGGCTATAGATTCTAAGAAAGCTTCCAACCTAAAAATAGATAATTTGTTATTTGGAAAGCGAGGAAAATAAAACTTTAATAACCAATATGGGGCAATGAGGGCACTGACCAATCAGGAAATATACTAAAGTATCTGCAAAGTATGCTATACGAGTATGGCTGAGTAACAGCTGCATGGAAACTGTATCAAAACTAAATATATGGACATGTGCATGCCTAAGCATGTATGCACACACATACATATACACACACATTCAACTGTAAGAGATATTTTCATTTCAGACATATTAAAATGTGAAAAAAACCTGTGTCTTAGGATCAATAAAATACAATGGTTAAGAAACCCATTACCTAAATGGAATTCAAGCCCTCTATTTGTCTAAAGTTTCTGAAAATGCTTTGCTTTAACCAGTTTAAGGCTTAATTAAATATGATCCCTAAGATACTGTCATTATGAGAATACTAAGAAGAAATTTTAAATGTGGTACTATCAAAAAATAATAAACATCTTCCATCTTACAAGTTCTATGGAAAAAAACTTTTGCATTTGTGCCTGCACCACCACAGTGTGAAACACTCTGTGAGTTCAAATATGAGTTATCAGAGTTTTGAAATAAATGTTCTATAGTTAATCTCAGATGTTTTGCTAAACTTAGTCTACAAATATCTTTAATTATAGACCACTGAGATTTTTCTTTTAATGGAGATGTCAAATGAGAGAGATGCAGAATGCTATTCAAATATATTGACAACTACCTAAAAGAAGCTATATAACCTAAATCACATTTATATTTATGAAGAAAGATTTAGAAGCAAAAGGAGTTACAAACAAGGAAATTTAATTCATTTGTATAAAAATAGCACTCCTGACTATTGGGTGACTACAGGGATACCACTTTTTTTGACCCCACAAGTTCAGGATTGAGTAACAGACATCTTAAATAACAACAAAAAAAGCAATATAGGTTAAATATTCTTTATCTGAAATACTTGAGACCAGAAGTGTTTCAGATTTCAGATGTTTACAGATTTTGGAATATCTGCATATACATAATGAGATATCTTAGGGATGAGACCCAAGTCTAAACATGAAATTCTTTTATGTTTCACATATATGTCATACACATAACCTGAAGGTAATTTTCGATAACATTTTCAATTATTTTGTGCATGACACAAAGTTTCTGTACACTGAGTAACTGGAAAGCAAAGGGGTCACTATCTTATACTGGCACTCAAAAAGGTTTGCATTTAGAATTCTGGACTTTTAGATCATGGAGGCTCAATCCTATAAAGGGAAACATTTAAAAAAAAAAAAAAAAAGATGAGCAGCAAATCAGGTTTCCAATTCTGCTTATTGTAGCTTCTCTTAATTTTATTTCCCCTCTTTACTCTTTATTTCTGATGGAGAATATTAGCAAAGGAGGTAAGGAGAAAACCCACTCTCCCATGTGCTACTCTTTCATTCCTAAGGATCTTTTTTCCCATCCAATCATGGGTTTTATGAGGAGCAGATAAGATACAAGCCTTTTCTTTGACCTCTTTCGCTGACATCTGTATCACAGCCAGGGAGTAGTATAAAGAAACTTAAAGAAGAAAAGCACAGAAAGAAAAAACTAATTTTCCTCATAGTCTTCAAAGTGAGATATTGGAAAAAACATAAAAATTTCTAGTTTTAGCTCATTCTTTTTGACTTATTTTGTGATTCTTTTAAAATATGTGTGTGTATATATGTATATATAAATATATTAGTATAGCACATGTATGTATGATCTACAAAGGATTTGAAAGAAGGCCTAAACATATGGAGAAAGATATTCATATACAAAAAACTTTTGATACTACAAAAATGATAATTTCCTCCAAATTAAATATTAAATTCTATGCAATTCAATCAAAATTCCCAGAAGGTTTCGTGGAATCTGAAAAGCTAATCCAAAAACATATACAAAAGAGACTAGTCAAATCAATTTTAAAGAATATGAGAGGGGGGCTTTACCCTATCAAAAAATACATAAAGAAAAAGGATAATAAACATAGGTGTACATACAAACCTACATATGGAGACATAGAGAGCAAAAAAAAAAAAAAGAAAAAAAAAAAAAGAGCAGGCAGGGGCTCAAAGTCAAAGGTTTGATGTGTAGAGTTTTATTTCCTAAAACTTAAAAGTGTCTGAAATAAATGTGGCAAAACATTTAAAAATAAGGTGAACACATGGGTGTTTATTATACTATCTTGTCTACTAGAGTATTTTTTAATATAACAAAATTTTGAGGCCAAGATACAAGTTATTCACATAAAGATAAGTTGTTATTATCAAAAATTCCTTATGGAGGCAGCATTGTATTTTTTTAAAAGCTTGACTAAAAATACTACGAGATGTGCCAGATGCTCTATTATAAAAAACAAGTATTGGTTAATCTTGTCAGTATTAAGATTCCAAAAATACAAATGAAACATCAACCAAAAAATTATAAAAATATAGTTTAAAAAATGATGATAGATGTCTATTTAAATACAGAAACACTAAAAAAAAAAAAAAAAAAAAAAGCAAAGTAAATATGGCTAGTAAGAAAAGACTATCCCTTTAGAAATAATCAACCGATTCCTCATAAACTGTCAAGAATTTCTCTTCAGGTTTATTATTTTTAATTCCCTGAATATGTCTCAAAATAGCCAATCAAATCACAGTTGTTGAACTACTGAAGGCCAAAACATAATTATGACCATGTATATTTTATAATTAACAACTGTCTCTGGTTAAGAGTAGGGATTTAGAAAGTAAAGCTTTAGTTTCTAGACAAAATATTTGAAATCTCAGTTTACGTGACTGGATCTGTGTAAAATGTTTAAGGGAATGACATAACAAAAAGTGAGATTCAGAAAATAGTTAAGGGCAATTCAGGCTCTAAAATGTATTGCTTGTAGATGTTGACTGTATTATATCCTATAATTGCATTATACTGTCCTCTTTATTAAAATAAAAACACATTTTTTCCTGCTCCTATACAACAAAAGTCTTTCGCACTGGTTCCAGGTATTTTTATATAAAAATGTAATTTTAAACAGTTGTCTTGAAAGTACCAAGAAGAATTCATTTATATCAATGTCATGTGAGTGAAGAGTTCCTAAATCAAGAAGAAATGTTACAGAGGTTGTCAGAAAACAAATAAATGTGATGTCAATGTGTATTAAATAAAAATCTAAAGTTATATTATGTACACAGAGAAAAATCATTTTCATTTTTATACTGCATTGCAGACAAGTAATATAATGCCATGATATCTTTACAGAAAACACAGTGCCAAAAATTTTCTTAATTATGTGTGCTCATATCACCCTCTAGTGGGCAAAATAAAGCAGACCATAAAAAAGGAAAAAAGAATCTGGAAAAAAAATCCACAGCATTCACAGATTCATTCATTCAGCAGCAGCTCTTACTTACTTCATCCTCACTACGGGGAAAGCACTGTGATAGGTGCTGCTCAGGACTAAGACAAGAAAAGCAGGAAAAGCAGAAACAGAAAGACCTATGTTGGAAGACCTATGTCTGGAAGCAGTATAGGGAAAGAGAAGAGAATTAAATGGCAAAGGAAGGTATGTAGAGTGTGGAACTAAGGTGAATCTAAAATGTAAATTCATTTTGTTTATGAAAGAACTATATGAAAAAACCTCCAGAACTGAACTTATCATTATATTTAATTTTGAAATAAACTAATCAATGTAGATAATATCTTTCAGGGAAATAACGTCAAAAATATATCCTCAACAGTCAGTGTTTTCTGATATGTCACAGAGGTATGTGCATGCATATATACACACTTACAGATGATAAAATACTGTCACTATTTTCCTGGATCCTAGATTTAATCTAATTTATTGATTTTAGTTGGGTAAACTTGTTTTGTTGTTGTTGTTGTTGTTGTTTATTATTTTTTCTGTAACCTAGAACAGTGTTGATGGTGAACTTATTTGTAATACAATGTAGAATGGATATATTTGCTACTCCATGGCCACTCATTTATAAAGGAAATTGGGCACTGAAATTCAGATCTTCACTCTTCTTTTAACTTCCTATTAGTAGACTAGAAGATATTTGTGATGTAGATCCCTTCCATTTAATGCTTTAAAGGATTAGCTCTGCAAAGAGACATTGTGGATTCAAACACTGGCTTCATCCAGATAGGGACAGGAGGCAGGGAAATTTTAGGTAGAAGAGGGCAGATCCCCAGCAAGGACCCTGCTCTCAAGCTGAAAAGCCTGATACCATGGCCCAAAGTGAGAACTTACATCCCTATTTTCCTGCTCAAATGTTGTCTTTTCCAAAACTACCCATGGCCCACCCCACCTGCCATCCTGTGCCCATAAAAACCCCAGGCTCAGCCAGCAGAGGGAAGAGAGGCAGCTGGCCATCAGAGACTATGGCTGGATGTCAGAGAGAAGTAGCCTGACTTCAGAGGGACAGCCTGATGGTGTAACCTGGGAGAAGAATCTGGCCCTAGAGGGCTAGACTTCAGGGTAAGACTACCTTCCTGCTCCATCCCCTTTTCACCTCCTCTTTCCACTGAGCCACTTTCATCAGTAATAAAATCCCCTGCATTTACCATCTTCAATTTATTCTTGAGACCTCATTCCTCCCGGATGCTAGACAAGAGCTCAGGTGCCGCAAGTGTGGTGCGAAATGCAGTCACAGTTACCCTCCACTGAGTCGTTAACACGTAAGCTGTCCATGGACAGCAGAGCTAAAACAGTACTGTAACACTTCCTCTGCGGCTTCAGGGGTCACCAGCACCCTCTCAGATGCTGCTGTAGGGCCAGTACAGAGTTTGCTTCTGCCCGTGCCCAAAAGCCCTTGCCCTGGCTCCTGCACCTGCTCACCTGCATGCTCCCATTCCTGTGGTCTCAGTGAGTGGAGCTCTCCCCTGCCAGCACTGAAGTGGCTGGCTAGTTCCAACACCCATGCACTCCAGTTCCCGCCCATGAAGGGGTAAGGGAAATACCCTGCTTCAATCTAACTAGCTGTGGAATCTTGAACCACTGATTCAACCTTTGAGTGCCTCATTTCACATTTGTAGAATGAGATGACTATCATCACCTATCTTATCAGAGAGTACCAAATGCATATGAAATGCCTAGCAAAGGTTACTCTTATTACTGTATTATTATTTATCATACCATTCTTTACTACAAAAAGTACTTTCAAATAAAAGATACAATAGAGAAAAAAAATTTCCTACAATTTTTAATAGTTAAGTACTGCCATATCTAAACTGTGCACCTTAATATATTTCAAAAGAAAGCATGCAAATTCTATACATTACACACTATACACACATACCCAATTTATAATATACATTAGAGGTAATTGAACAATTTGTTAAACTAATGAACAAAAAGTTATCAGCTACATTCTATCAAACCAGTTTATCAAGCTTAGTCTTTAAGTTAGCAATATTTTATATAGCATTTGTCATTCTAAAGCAGTATTATCTCACACGACAAAATTTTTCTGTACTATTTTCACAGTAAAATTATGTATACCTTTAAGATATTTAAGAAAGATTATTTTAAAAATTCCTCTAACGCATTAAATTTATCTTTTAATTTATTGTAACATACATTTTACAACTTAAAAATCAAAGAAATAAATATAATTTCTAGACTGTACCACCTATACATGTAACCATATATAAAAAATTTACATAAGCAAAAATCACTATAATTTATAAAAACATAAAATATTTTCCTACTCAACATCACCTTCAGAGATCTTGCCACATGAACATGGTTATCGTAGACTAAAATGTCTATTGTCAGATTTTGTAGCCGATGGATGTGACTTAAATCACCTTCAAGAACAAGGTCTTGTATTAAGACTCTCCAAGATGGAAATGGTGTCCTGGTGCCATCCCATACCTGCCACAAGAGAGTAGAGTAGTTTTATGATCCTTTAGAAAAAATGCTTGTGCTAAAAAGTTTTTTCCTGGTAATAGTACTTAAAAGTAATTAAACGTATGCCTCTGAATATTGGCACTATTTTAAATATGACATTATTTTCTGATTGTAAAAGAACTACATATGAAATATGGGTAATGTGGAAAATGTAGAAGAATGTAAAGAAGAAAAAGAGTCACACTGCCATAAGTCCAGACTAAATATTCCTGAGTCAAGTGTTTTTATACAATAAAAACAAACCAAAATGGTCTTGAAAAACACTCATATGTATTAAAACATTTTTGCAAATACAACTAGTAAAATTACGAATGTTCTAAAAATTATAAAAATAATACATTTCTTTGACATTAATCAAATTATTTCTATGAGATTCAGTCTCATTCTTAAATTAGTTGTAAAGCATTATTCTGATGTTTCCATACAAAGAAGTAAATATTGTAAATTTGAATAATTTCCTTTATATGATGATTTTCTGGTTCACATTATGCTTTTTGTTCTCCAAACCATATTACAGATGAGACATACAAACTACCTACCAGCTCTGGCTATAAATGACGCCTGGTTATTTATTTAAAAAAAAAAAAACATAAAACAAAACACAAAAGATAAGGCTGCACCCATACTGTAGATATTAAAACAAATAGAATATATACACTCAGAGAAAATTCAATTTGAGAATACTGCTCAGAAAAATAATTTATATAATATTAACAGAATAGAGAAAAATGTGGAATGATGCCAGATCAACAAATTTATTGAATTATATTTAATGCAAATGATTGGTGTACCATGGCTAGTGAAAAATTAAAATGAATGCACTGTGGTTAGTAAAAAAGCTACCAACATTAATATTGTGCCCAGGTTGAGATGGAAAATGATTATACTATTTCGTATGTAACCAGACGTTATTTCAAGTAATGTCTAGCTCCTCTGTTTTTAAAAAATAAAATTTAAAAATTATTTCTGATACGTAAGAAAATCAATGTATGGAAAAAAAATCACTCATAATTCTATTTCCCAGAGACGAAAACAGTAAAATGTTGCTTTATAGGCCTCCCAATATATTTTTCTATGTACATATACATTTTTAGTGTGTAAATGAAACTACAGTATCACTAAATAGACTATCACAAAATTCTATCTCAACAAGTACATGTCTATAATATCATTTTATGGTTACAAAGTATTTTATGGTGACATTTACAATGCTATTTTATGGTCATCCTACATAAATAGTGTACACAATTTTCTATTGTTAGTATTGGGGCTTTTTCTAATTTTTCTACTGTATTCTCATTTTTTATACTGTAAGAAAGATAAATATATCCTTTTAAGTGTACTTTTATAAATATTTAAAATTATTTCCTTAAGATAATGAAAATAAAATTGCTGAGCTGAACGGTACAAAAAGACTTTTGAGGTTTACTTTTAAATTGTCATAAGAAAGGCTTTTACTAATTCTTTTCTTTTTTTAAATTATACTTTAAGTTTTGGGATACATGTGCAGAATGTGCAGGTTTGTTACATAGGTATACACGTGCCATAAGGGCTTGCTGCACCCATCAACCCATCATCTACATTAGGTATTTCTCCTAATGCTATCTCTCCCCTAGCCCCCTAACCCCCAACAGGCCCTGGTGTGTGATGTTCCCCTCCCTGTCTCCATGTGTTCTCATTGTTCAACTCCCAGTTATGAGTGAGAACATGCGGTGTTTGGTTTTCCATTTTTGTGTTAGTTTGCTGAGAATGATGGTTTCTAGCTTCATCCATGCCCCTGCAAAGGATGCAAACTGATTCTTTTTTTGGCTGCATAGTATTTCATGGTGTATATGTGACACATTTTCTTAATCCAGTCTATCATTCATGGGCATTTGGGTTGGTTCCAAGTCTTTGCTACTGTGAATAGTGCTGCAATAAACATACAATGTGCATGTGTCTTTATAGCAGAATGATTTATAATCATTTGGGTATATACCCAGTAATGGGATTGCACTGTCAAATGGTATTTCTGGTTCTAGATCCTTGAGGAACTGCCACACTATCTTCCACAATGGTTGAACTAATTTACACTCCCACCAACAGTGTAAAAGTGTTCCCATTTCTCCACATCCTCTCCAGCACCTGTTGTTTCCTGACTTTTTAATGATTGCCATTCTAACTGGTGTGAGGTGGTATCTCATTGTGATTCTGATTTGCATTTCTGTAATGACCAGTGATTATGAACTTTTTTTCATATGTCTGTTAGCCGCACAAAGGTCTTCTTTTGAGGAGTGTCTGTTCGTATTCTTCGCCCACATTTTAATGGAGTTGTTTTTTTCTTGTAAATTAGTTTCAGTTCCTTGTAGATTCTGGATATTAGCCCTTTGAAAGATGGACAGATTGCAAAAATGTTCTCCCATTCTGTAGGTTGCCTGTTCACTCTGATAATAGTTTCTTTTGCTGTGCAGAAGCTCTTTAACTTAACTAGATCCATTTGTCAATTTTGGCTTTTGTTGTCATTGCTTTTGGTGTTTTAGTCATGAAGTCTTTGCCCATGCCTATGTCCTGAATGTATTGCCTAGGTTTTCTTCTAGGGTTTTTATGGTTTTAGGGCTTATGTTTAAGTCTTTAACCCACCGTGAGTTAATTTTTGTATAAGGTGTAAGGAAGGGGTCCAGTTTCAGTTTTCTGCATATGGCTAACCAGTTTTCCCAACACCACTTTATTAAATAGGGAATCCTTTCCCCATTGCTTGTTTTTGTCAGGTTTGTCAAAGATCAGATGATTGCAGATGTACGGCGTTATTTCTGAGGCCTCTGTTGTGTTCCATTGGTCTATATATCTGTTTTGGTAGTAGTACAATGCTTTTTCGGTTACTGTAGCCTTGTAGTATAGGTTGAAGCCAGGCAGCGTGATGCCTCTAGCTTTATTCTTTTTGCTTAGGATTGTCTTGGGTATATGGGCTCTTGGGCTCTTTATTGACTTTTCAGTGTTATATTTTAAACTAACACTTACATGACAGTTGTTTTCACTTGTCCAAAAAAGTTATCTATTACAATGGGATGCAGGTATATGTTTTGTTTCCGTAGAGAGAAAATGTAGACTCAACTATTTCAGCTAAAATTTGGTACATTTTATCTTAGAATTTAAGAATTTTCTAAAAACATAGTCAAAAGATAGAATATTCCTCACTGCACAGTAGTAGAGTCCTTGTCATAGTAAGTGTTCAGTTGTTAGCAAATGCTCATTTGTTAAGATCGTCACATTTGCCAGAGAGTATGACTGGCTGACCTAAGATTCATTCTAACTTTGTTTGATTTTATATTACTTTTGCTTCAGCTTTATCATATTTGACTTATTTAACTTTCTGTATGGCATATATTTACAACTTTCTCATAGTATTCCATGTGTATATGAATGTGCTATTTTCAACTGCTAGAACTTTATATTTTATTCAATGATTGCTAACTTCTCTGTTCTTTACTATGGGCAAGGTATAAATAATGCTAAACCCCAAGACTTGTCCAAGTGCCACTGCACTCCATTTCCTGCCCTATTATTCCAAAGAGAACATCGAGAAATAACCATAGGAGCAGGCCTGAAGAGGCATTTGTTTAAATGTATCCTCCATAGGATGTCCAGGCAAGAAAAACAGACATTCACCTTCTCCAGAAGTTATTCTCTAAACTGGGATAGGTGTAAACAGAGATTTGATGGGTCTTAAGTTACTTTTTTATCTTGCTGATTTAAAAGCAAAACACAGTAATATAAAATGCTTCAAAACTATCCACGGTATGACTATGAAGTAGGCAGTGAAAGATATAAGAAGAGAACCCAACATCAAGGGGACAAAAAAGTAAATAAATGAGAGGGAAGGTGACCTTGATAGGGAAACAGAAATATTCATGTATGGGACTACAAACTATGAAATAATAGAAAACAAGTCTACATATGATTACTACTAAAATAAAAAAATGCATAAGTCATACTATATTTAACATGTAGATCTGATAACACTAGAAGGAAAGTGTAAAACAGGAAGGAAAGAAAAATTTTAGAGAGGTACAAGAGTAGAGCTGCATGAATATCAAAGCTCATCAAAAATAGTTAAAATCTAAGTTCCTAATATAATACACTGTATGCATATTTGTCTCATCAGAAAGCTGAAACATAAGCTCTTTACAGACATATAAGTGTTGCTAACTTATAATTTCCAGTATTAAAAAATATGTACCTTTAGAAGAAATGATGCTCCGTCCACTTCTGCTTTGCCCAAGAGCTGACAAGTCAGGTCAAAATACTGCATTGGCTGCACATCACACAATTTTAGTAATGTCCAAGACGGTGACATATGAGTAGATGCCCAAACACGTAAAGTTTCTACCATTTTGTGGTCCTCAGTAGTGAAGTTAAAATACTTGCTTGAAGTGCGAGGTATGATAGGGGCTCCCAAAGTTCCCTCAAACGTCAAAGATGCAAAGCCAGAGCTGGTGATACCCTGAGTCTCCTTTTTATATACTTGAATCTAAGAAAGTAGGGCAAAGTAGAAAAGACATACAAATAAAATAGCTTACTGATGCAGAATATATGAACTGAAGAAATTGGAAAGATTATCAATTTTGCCAGCATAATTAAGAGAGGGCATTTTTTAAAAACTATTTTTATTTAATTAGCATATGAAATTCTACTCTCACGTGCTGGTGCTACACTAAGATACATAAGTATCATGGACACTGTGAACCTCCATGCAAAATTCACTTACATTTTTGAAAGAGCTAGGTGGTGGTCTCCCTAATCCTATCAAGCTTGCAGTTTTACATTTTATTAGTTTTTTTTTATTAAGGTGTAATTTATACAAGGAAAAAGGATCATAAATGACAGTGACTTATGAATATTACAGAAAAGACTAGAACACTTGAAATATGAGAATATAAAGTGAATAAAATGAAGCTCAGGCTAGGGTTTAATCAGAGTGACTGAGAGCACTGAGATATGCCATAAGCTCTTTTGCTTTCTGAATTTGGGGGCTGTTATCAGAGGCACATACATTTATATTGCTATATCTTCATGAAGAGACCCCTTTGTCTTTATGAAAAGCTCCTTCCAAAACTCTCTCATAGTAATATAGTTATTTCATTTCCCTTATGTTTACTTAGTACATTTTTTTTTTTAGAGCTTTAGTTCTAACTTGTTTAGGTCTTCATATTTAAAGTGCACTTCTTGTAGGTAGCATATATTTGGTTCCTGATTTTTTTTGTTCAATCTTTCCCTTGCAAATGGAAATTAGTCCATTCACAGAAAGGCAGTTATTAACATGGCCATATTTGAGTCTACTATCTTGTTTTCCTTTTTTTCCACGCTTCTTGCTTTTTAGCTTCTTTGTTTTTTTAAAACTTTTTTTTTTCTATTGTTCCTTTCTTGTTTTCCTTTTGGAATTCTTATTAGTGCTCCACTTCCTTCTTCTTGGCTATGAATAAATCTTTAACTTTTCAATGTCTACTTGGAAATCAATATTGTTCTACTATGTACTTTCTACTTTCCATTTCATACTTGCTACTCCTATTTCATGCATTCTACTTCACAAATATAACTTTTCACTGGTAGAATTCCATTCACTCATCCCACCCATCCTTTGTGTTACTGTTGTAGTATTTTTTCTACATATTTTATAAACTCCACCATGTAATATTACCGGTTTTGCTTTAAATAGGCATTTATCTTGTAATTAAATTCTGGAAAGAAATAAAAACATTCTGTTTACATATTTACTATTTTTTTCCATCATTTCTTGTATTTTTGTCACTTCTTAACTATCCAGCTTCCAGTTGCTAGCATTCCTCTTTGGCCTGAATATCATTCTTTTGCATTAATGCTATGCAGATATGCTGGCCATGGACTATCTCATTTTTCCTTTATATAAAATGTTTCTTTCACTCTCATTCCTGAAGAATGTATTTGCTGGATATAAAATTCTGTGTGAACAAATTTTTTTCTATCACCATGTACAAATTATTTCTTTGTTCTCTGGGTGTCATTGTCTCTGGTAAAAAGTGAAAGATGACTGGTATCATTGTTCTCCAACAATGTATCATTTATTCTCCAGTTGATTTCAAGATTTTTCTCTTTTTCAATGGTATCACTATCTTTTGTTTGGATGTGCTTTTCTTTGTGCATACCCTGCAAAGTACATTTAAGTCTTTGTTTTTCCTCAAATTTGGGGAAATTCTGGTCCTTATTTCTATAAATATTTTATTTCCCTTCACCCGCTCTCCTCTTGCATCCTAAATTACATGTAACATTTGATATTGTTCCATAGGTCCTTACAGTCTATTAATTTTTACTTAATCCTTGTTCTTCAGATTAGGTAGTTTCTAATGATTTGTCATCAATTTAACTTATATCTGATCTTAGCCCATCCAGTAGATTTTTCTTTTCATTTGTTCTTTTCAGTTCCTGAATTTCTATTTAAGTTTCCACTTCTCTGCTGAAATTTATCTTTTCACATTCATTTAGCATCTTCCTCTAATTCACTGAATGTATTTTGCTTAATTTCTTTTTTAAAATTATTTATTTATTTTTGAGAAGGGTCTCGCTCTGTCACTCAGGTTGGAATGCAGTGGTGTAATAATATTTCACTGCAGCCACGACCTCGCGGGCTCAAGGGATCTTCCCACTTCCACTTAATTCTTTGAAAGTCTGTATAATCTGTGCTTTAAAGTTTTTGTTTAATAAAGACAACATTTGGGCTACCATGGAGTTGATTTGGAATGTCTATGCTTTCTTTTTTCTTGACTAGGGGTAACACTTTCTTGTTTTCATGTCTAGTATATCTTTTTTCTTTACTAGACATCATAGATGCTATACTGTAAAGACTCTGAATTATGTTGGCTTCTTCTGACAAACACTGATTTTTGTTCTCGCTGGCCACTGAGTTGTTGTCTGGTCATCTTAAACTCATGAATGCTTGTTTTTATGCTTTGTTAGGGTGATCTGTGGAAAGCCCATGATGTTTCCCAAAGTCTTCTACATTGATGGGACTCATCCTGCAAACTCTCTGCGAAGTCTTCTCCGTAGAACTCGTTTTAGGCTTTGACAAACCATGTGTATAACAGGCCTTACTATAAGATGTGATCCTTTGTGAGGTGAGCTACTTCAGGGGGGAGAAACCTTTATATTGCCTCAGTTGAATTTCCAAGGTGTTAAATAGTTATTAATAAGTTAATTTCCAAGGTGTTAAATAGTTATTATTTGTCCCTATCTTGGACTTCCAGCACCCCATTACTAGACCTCTAGTATCTGCTTCATGTTCAACCACAATGTTCAACCACAGTTCAAACACACAGTAGCTTTTGTAATCCTTAAGTAGTTCTACCCCACCCTGTGCAGCCTGGTTTTCAACCAAGTATTCAAGTCCACCCCAACTCTGATGGACTTTTAGACATCCCCTTCTGTATAGCTCTTTCCTCTCTGGTTTCTTGTTGTGAAAATTCCAGTTTTCAGCTGCCTTGAACTTTGACTTCAGCTGTATCAGGACCACAGCTTGAACTTCAGCTTACTGTGCAGTGGTTGAGAAAATGTCTGTAGGCAGGGATGTGGTCATCATGGGGCTCACTTTAAAAGTTTCTCTTCACTCTCTGATCATAGCTACCCATTGTCCGATGCCTAAAAAACAGTTGCCTCACACGTTTTATGGGTCTTCGTGGCAGCAGGGTTAGTCCAGTACCAGTTAATTTCTCACAATGCGGAAGTTCACTCTGCAGATTCTAACTATACTTGCCTACAACTGATCTATTACCTAACTTTACACTTTTAAATGGATTCTACTTGATGTATATGCTGCTACTCTTTTATACTCCAATGTCTGATTGATGCTTCGTTCTGTGATCATCATTGTTATTACCAATTCCATGCTCACTAGTGTATACTGTTTACCAAAGCTTGCCTCTGCTGATTATCATAGTAAAACAGAACCAACTTCCAGCTTAGGTGTGTTGGTAGCTTTCACATATCATTTATGAGCAGATCCTCTTTGCTTGAGATTCAAAATATACCTTAATTAGTCTACTTCTATTTCCACCACCACTGTAGTCTAAGGCATCCTCATTTCATGTCTGTAAACTGAAATAGTCTTCTAAAGAATATCTTTGCCTTCATGCTTGTTCTTCAACAACCCATCTGTTATCCACGTGTTACTGAGTGATTTTTTTTCAAAATTTTAACCAATCATTTCATGTGCACATTTAAAACCCTCTAATGACTTCTCATTATACCTAGAGTAAAATCTAAATAACTTACCTACCACAATTTCATCTCGTAACACCTCCCCCATAGCTGACTAGGATCCATGCTAGTCTTCTTTCTGTTTCTCCAATACCACACTCATTCCTATTATAGGGCCTTGGCACCTATAGTGTCATCTGGTGGAAAACGTTTTCCCTCAAATCTCAGTAGGACTTCTCATTATCATCATTTGGGTCTCAATTCTTATGTCTCCTCATTAGAAAGGCCTTTCGTGATTTTGCCTTATTTTATTTATTTATTTATTTATTATTTTTGAGATGGAGTCTCGCTCTGTCGGCCAGGCTGGAGTGTAGTGGTGCGATCTCAGCTCACTGCAACCTCCACCTCCCGGGTTCAAGCAATTCTCCTACCTCAGCCTCCCGAGTAGCTGTGACTACAAGCACCCACCACCACGCCCGGCTAATATTTGTATTTTTAGTAGAGACATCGTTTCACCATACTGGCCAGGATGGTCTCGAACTCCTGATCTTGCAATCCTCCTGCCTAGACCTCCCAAAGTGCTGGGATTACAGGTGTGAGCCACTGTGCCCAGTTGCTTTATTTTCTTTATAGCAACTATCATTACTTGAAATTACTTTGATTTATATGCTTTACTTTTATATTGTCTGCTTCTTTGCATTAAAACAGAAGCCTATACAAAAAAAAAAAAAATTTTTGCTGGAAAAAAGAAGAGTAGATCTTGACTCTTCTTTTATGTATATTTTTGCTATGAACTGTCATCTTCAAATTGCAATAAGAAAAACAAGAAAAAATAAATTCTGGCTGTTTTATGTATATTTTCGCTATGAATTATGATCCTCAAACCGCAATAAGAAAAACAAGAAAAAATAAATTCTGATATCTAAAACAGATGTCTGTACTTAGAATGACCTTGCTCAACTAAAGAAAACAGGGCTATTCAAACAAAGCTAGCGAACTGTCAACATAAAGAGTGTAAGGAAGTGCTAGTAGCCCTAAATATGAACATTTCATGAAAACAGAGAAACAACTTTATAGAAAAATATAGTAACCCTAAATCTATACAGCAGCCTCAAAATATATAAAACATAAAATTAAATAAGAAGGCTTAAACCCCATTAACATTGCTTTAAATTATTAAGCAAAATCGATAGAACTAAAAGAAACAGGCAAATCCTCTATCACAGTAGTCTTTAAAACACAGTTTTCAATAGCTGATAAGTAGATAAGAAATAAAAAATGATATTGACCATATGGTAGAACATAAAGTAAGCATTCACAAATTTCAAAATACTAAACATTTCAGAGTATGTTTCCTGACCACAATAAACAATAGTAAAAGAAGGTAACTATTAAATGATTTAAATAAATATAAAAAACAAACAATAATCCTATGGAATTGGATTGAATATAACTCTCTATATATATTATTTGGATTATTTGAATATAATTCAAATATAAATTCAATATATAAATATATGTTCAATATAATTCAATATATTCAATAATAATTCAATATATACTCGATGAGTCAATATTTATTTGAATTTTCATATTGATTTCCTCTCTGACTTATGGATTATTTACAAATTATTTATAAACCCATAGATCAGAGATGAAATCAATGATCAATATAAAAATTCAATTATATATTCAACTGAATGGTAATGAAGTTATGACAAATTAAAACCTGCTGGATACAACTAAGGCAGTACTTAAAAAATTTAGTCATAAATGAATATATTACAAAAGAGATGGCTAAATTATTATAGTAGTAAAGTTAATTTTCTACAGTGATAATACTGCATCTTTATATTCACTCACACTTCTCTAGACTGTGAATGGAGCCATGTATGGTCTGTAAGTGTTTGTGTATAAAAATCGTTGAAAATCTCCAAAAAATTTTCCAAAATACTTGGTGAAAAAAGTCTGCATGTAAGTGTGCCCATGTAGTTCAAACCTGTGTTGTTCAAGGGGTAACTATATGCTGTTAGAGGTCATGAGATTCTTTACTCCTGTAGCAGGAGACACAATAATGACCTCTCTGGATGGGGATATGAGGGAAGTTTCTAGAGTGTTAGCTATATGAGTATAGTTATATTGTGAATGATGAAATGTTTATCTATTTGCTATTAAATAGTAACTTCCATAAACAATAACAACAACTAAATATGTTTATGAAGGAAGCATGCATTCTTTGACTACAGTATATAGGAAACAATACTTTGAAAAGTAAGCAATTTTTTGACGTTTAAATAGTATGTATTGCATGGCTATGATAATATTTCTTTTTTTCTTTTTCTTTTTGAGTCGGAGTTTTGCTCTTGTTGACCAGGCTGGAATGCAATAGCACAATCTTGGCTTGCCACAACCTCCGCCCTCCAGGTTCAAGTGATTCTCCTGCCTCAGCCTCCTGAATAGCTGGGATTACAAGCATGTAGCACCACGTCCGGCTAATTTTGCATTTTTAGTAGACACAAGGTTTCTCTATGTTGGTCAGGCTGGTCTCGAACTCCTGACCTCAGGTGATCCGCCAGTGTCAACCTCCCAAAGTGCTGGGATTACAGGCGTGAGCCACCACGCCCAGCGATGATAATATTTCTATTTCTTTTTATCTTTACACAAATATTCTCCATTATCCTCCTATTCTCAAGGAAACAGCATTAATAGGTCATAAGAAGTGCCTAAGAGTAGAACACAGTTGAACGCTGTCCTCATTTGTGAGCATCAGACTGACCATGAAGGACAGAATTAAACTGAAGCCTTAGAAGAAAAAGACAACCAAGATGATGAAGAGGTTACATGGAAACCCATGTAACAAAGGAAAACATGAAGAAACTGAAATATTTAAAATCTAAGGGACTGAAAATATACGAAGTATTTAATATTTTGTAAATATACAAAGCATCATGCAGTAATTTCCAAAGAAAAATTCCAAAAGTTCATTGAACAAAAAAGCTCAATTAAATAAATATTATAGCAATAAGGAAAATAATTTTGAGAAAATAATAATCCTTTGCATTTGTAAGTTCTAAAATTTTTATTTCTTAAAAATTGTGCTATTTAATAACTCTACCCTTATATTAAAGGCTTTCTTACATTTAGTTATTTAACTACAGGCATACTTTTAAAAGTACCTGTTCATATCTTATTTCTTATAAATGAAAACCAACTTAATTTGATTTTATACTTAGTAGCTCAATGTTTTCATTGAACATGAATTAATACAAGAAACAGGAAAGAATAATATAATCTCCTAATCTTTGTATACTTTTTTTCTTGTTGACCTAAAGTTGTTTTTTAAAACATTAAAACACAAATGTTCTTTATCAAACTCTACAGATAAAACTTCTATAGCATTAGTCTATATTTAGAAACAGAAGACAGAATGGAACTAGTCTTAATCAGGGCATGTAATACATTTCTGGGGAACGAAGGCAAGTGGTTTGTTCAAATGAAGATGTTTCTTACTGTAAATTATTGGAAGTCTGATAATATTTACACTACTTCTTATCTCGTGAAAAGCTTGCTGTCATGTTCTAACAAAGCAACCACATAATTAGTGCTAACTAGTTTCAGTGAACAATACAGAGTTCTCTTCAAATAAAGTTCTAGACAGTATGAATTATACCTTCAGCCTGTGAAAGCGAACAATATCTCCATTTTTATAAATTATTGGAAGGGCTTCATAGTTTCCACTAAAGAGCAGGCAAGTTAATTTTACATTTGTCTGGTCCACAATTGTTACAACTGAGCAATAATCTGGAAAACACAAAAATATTTTACCTGACTTTCAATATTTTAAAGCATTAGATAAAATAAGAATATGCTTACTTCAAAACACCAAACTTTATTCTTCTTTTTTAATTAAGCCTTCTAAGAGTTAAAAAACAGACATTTTCTTAGCTTTCAATACACACTGCAAAATTATTTTGCAGAAGTGTTCTATAAATATTACTTTTAAAAAGTTTAGTAAAACAGAAATAAAAATCTAATTCAGTATAAATTGTCTGGAGAGAAAATAACCTTTTTTATTGCTTCAAGGTTTACAAATCATGAAACATAAACGTAGTCAAATAAGAAAAAAACAATTTATAAAATAAACATAACTAAATTTAGAATGAAAACAAAGGCTAAGCTATTTATAGCAGATATGAAGGTTGTACCCATACTGCATAAAGAACTTATAAAAATCAGGATGATACAGTATATATGTCATACAAATGAATAAACAATTCATAGAAAACATCATAACAAAAAATTCAAAAGAGAAAATGGCAATTCTTGCTGGTCACCTATAAAAAATTACACATTATAACAAAAGAGAGGTATTTTATAAAATTTAAACTGGCAGAAAAATTTAATATTCGGGTTGCTGTAAAATGGTAACTTTAAACATTGGTGGTAGTAAAAATTGTCTGCTGGTGGTAGTAAAAACTGCCTTTAATTTTTTTTTTTTTTATTAACACATAAAAGATTCTATGTATTTATGGTGTGCTATACATGGTTTTGAAGTACACATACATTGTGAAATCATCAAATCTAGCTAATGAAAATACACATTACCTCACATAGTTATTTTTGCAGTGAGAACACTTTACATCGATTTTCTCAGCATTTTTCAAGAATACAACATATTTTTCACTACAGTCACTGTTATACAATAGAACCCCTGAACTTATTCTTGCTAACCAAAATAGTGTATCCTTTGACCAACATCTCCCCAAAACCTTCCCATAGCCACACAGGGCCCTGTCAACAACCATTCTACTCTCTACTTCTATGAGATCAATTTTTTAAGATTCTGTACCTGGCTTATTTTACTTAAGAATGTCCTCCAGGTTCATTCATGTTGTTGTAAATGACAGAATTTCCTTCTTATGTCTAAATAGTATTCCACTGTGTATATAGACCATATTTTCTTTATTCATCCATTAATGGACGCTTAGGTTTATTCTATGCCTAATGTGGATAAGCCTGCAATAAACATGGGAGTGCGGATGTCTCTTCAACATATTATTTCCTTTTGATATACATAGTAGTGATCCCTATCTGAAGTGTCACCTTCCACAGTTTCAGTTACCTGCAGTCAACCATGATCTACAAATATTTAATGGAAAATTCCAGAAATAAACAACATGAATCATCCCTTCATGCAGGGTATCCACACTGTGCATGCTCCCTGCCTGTTAGTCACTTAGTAGCTGTCTCTGCTATCATATCAACTGTTGAGGTATCACAGTGTTTGTGATCATGCAACCCTTATTTTACTTAATAATGGCCCCAAAGTGCTAAGACAAAGTGGTAAGTGCTTAGTTAAACTTTATTATAGGTATGTATATTTAGGAAAAAAAAGTGTATACAGAGTTCAGTACCATCCATGGTTTTGGGCAGCTGCTAGGGGTCTTGGAGCATATCCCCTTTGGACAAAGGAAAAGTACTGTACCCAGTAGTGAGATTGTGGGATCATATGGCAGTTCTAATTTTTGGAAGAATATTTATATGTTTTCCACAATACTTGTGCTAATTTACATTGCTACCTACAATGCGCAAAGGTTATCTCTTCTTCACACCCTTGCGATACTAGTCTTCTTTTTGATAACAGCTATTGTAATAGGTGAGAAGTGATATCTTACTGTGGTTTTATTTTAATGATTAGTGATGTTGGACATCTTTTCGCATACTTGTCTGCCATTTGTATGTTATTTTTAAAGAAATGTCTATTCAGGTCCTTTGCCCATGTTTAAATTGGGTTGTTTTCTAATCATCTAGTTGAGTTCCTCATATACTTTAGATATTAACCCATTATCAGATACACAGTTTGCAATTATTTTCTCCCATTCTTTACTCTGTTAATGCTGGTTGTGCAGAAGGTTTTTAAGCTTGATACAATCCCATTTATCTATTCTTGCTTTCATTGCCTGAGCTTTTGAGGTCCTTTCCAAAGAATTTTTGGTGAGCTCAATCTCATGGAGCTTTTCCCCTATGTTTTCTTCTAGTAGGTTCATAGTACTACATTGAACAGAAGTGGCAAGAGTGGGCATCTTTGTCTTGTTACAGATCTTAGAGGAAAAGATTTCAACTTTTTCTGCATTTATTAAAATGATCACATAATTTTTGTGCTCCATTCTGCTAATAAACATTTTGATTTGCGTGTGTGGAACCACCCTTGCATACCTGGAATAAATCCTACTTGATCATGGCAAATAGTCTCTTTAATGTGCTATTGAATTTGGTTTGCTAGTATTCTGTTGAGGATTTTTGCATCTATATTGGCCTGCAGTTTTTTTGCTGTTAGTTTTTATTGTCTTTGTGTCTTCAGTATCAGAGTAACGTTGGCCTCGTGAAATGAGTTTGGAAAATATTTCCTTCTCTTCCATTTTTGGAAGAGGCTGAGAAGAGTTAGTGTTAGTTCTCCATGGAATGTTTGATAGAATTTGATGCTACCTATACACATGATTCAGAAAATGCATTGACTTTTTGTCCTTCCTAGTCCCCTAGTAATGAAGGTATAGAGATTGAAAGGAACAAACCACAAAACAGTGAAGGAAAGGAGAGTGGGAAAAAACAACGTATTTCAGGAAAATGGAAAGTAAGTGGTTAAGAGATAAAATAAACAGAAGAGGCCAAAATCCAGAAGATACTACAAGGTGGCTACAGTAAAGATGGGAGCCACTGGGATTAAGCGTGAGAGTAAAAAGTAGGGATGAAAACAGGGGATCAATTAGAAGTTTACACACAGAACAAGTGTTTCAATTCAATGACTAACCATCTTTATTCTCCACTTCCCTGAAAATGACTTCAGGCAGCATCTTTGTATTTAACAACCTTTCCATTTTGAAAACTTCTAGGAACACAGGTTCTTTTCCAAGGAAGCTGAACTCATTAACTGGGAAGTGGTAAGACTTCTCACGTTGGTGTTAACAACCAGAATAAATTCCTCCTCACCATCACATTAGGGAACCTACAGCTTGGTTGGCAGTTCTCATCCCACCCACCCTAGGCTGAAAATTTCAATCAACATGCCCTAACAAGTACTATTAGTCACTATTAAGTTTCCCACTCAAGGAGAGGGAGTATTACAGAAATGAACTACTTACAAACAAAGCAAATGAGAAAGGTATATGAAACCTAAAATAAACTATATCTACATTCTTAAATACAAAAATACAGCAGAAAATTACCAGGCATTAGAATAAAAATGGAAGACGCTGTAATCCTAGCACTTTGGGAGGCCAAGGTGGGTGGATCATTTGAGGTCAGGAGTTCAAGACCAGCCTGGCCAACATGGTGAAACCCCACCTCTACTAAAAAATACAAAAGTTAGCTGGGTGGTAGTGGTGCTCTCCTGGGAAGTGGAGGTTGCAGTGAGTCGAGATCATACCACTGCACTCCAGCCTAGATGACAGAGTGAGATCTGTCTCACACAAAAAAAAAGGGAGACAGAAAGAAAATGGGGTTAAGAAGAAAAACGAGAGAAGGGAGTGAGGGGGAGGGAAAAAAAGGAGAGAGAGAGCAAAGGGGAGAAAGAAGGGAGGAAAGAGAGAGAGGAATGGGAAGGGAAAGGGAGGGTAGAAAAAGAGAAATCTGAATTTGTGAGAAGGGTGAAATAACCTGGAACAACAACAACAAAAAAAAACTCTAAAAATGAAAAAACTTTAATAAACGTTTTCAGAAAGAGTAAAAATATATTATATTCTCATCCCTTGAGGACCCACTGGCTCTAATTTTAGGTTTTAAGTTTCCTTTGTCACTATTTCTTACTATCAGTAAGGAGCGACACTTCATGCCATTTTTTCTTTGTTAGCAGTCTTCCAATGACCAAAGATAAATTTTATTTATTTTTCGAAACACAGAACACATTCTTACTTGCAATTACCATATGGCTTTATCGTACCGTTTTATACATCTGAGATACATTATGGAATCTTTTTTCCTATATCTTGAAATATATTGATATTCATTATCTGAGTAATTATTTCATCACTATGCATTAATTATTTCTATGCACGTTTAAAAAGACTGATTTTTAAAATGTGAAATGAGGCAATTGTCTAAAGGATGATACAAGAATCAAATAATCACTATTGTATCATTCTTCAGTTTTCATACTCAAGATATAAAAGAAGTTTGGAGACACCATCTTTTGAGTTTCTTCTTTAGCTTTATTTAAACATAGTTAAAAATTCAAAATTTTAAAATTTGTGCCCACGGTCAGTGAGAAGAACATTGATGGAGGAAGTCATTTAACCATTATTAGATGAATCAGAAGCTAAATGCAAAAACAGCAGCGCGTTAGCCAATGATGATAAAATTGATCACATAAGTAAAATCTCAGGCTATTTATCTCCAGATGATATCCTATATAAAGTTTCTCAAGCTCAAGAATTGATGCATGAAAATACATTTCTAAAAATAGGGAGAAAACACAAAATATTTCTAAAAACGGACAGAAATATGGTATTCTTATCCAGTAAGTCATTCAACTAAAATGATTTCACCATACGATATTCTGGGACATGACTAAGGACCATTCCATTTTGCTAAAATGACTTGTGATGGCATTCTTTCATCTTAAATGATATTTGCATACCAAAATTCACATAAAATGGCATGTAAATGGATATGCAGAAGGCAAGTGTATACATAAAGGTAGTGGAAAGAATAGGTGAGCTCAAAATGAAAGATCCATCTTTAATCATTTGAATTGGTGTTTACAAATCTAAAATAGAAACTGTTTTGTAATTATGGAGCAAAAACAG